GAATTTGTTTATAGAACCATGGATTGTGGTTATTAAATATTTTGAAAACGTCTCCAAAGAAATCTTCGTATAATTTTTTATAATTTACAGCTCCCCCAAAATTACGAGCTAATGCCATTTGAATATTCTCTCGTGTCATTTCGGCTAATGAAAGCCGTTTGAATAACGCGTAATAATCTCGAAGACCATGGAAATTAGGTAAATCTTGACCGTGTTTTTCATATTCAGAAAATGCTTTGGCTAATGGTTCTAAAGCGCCTCTTTGACTACGTCTAATACCTTTACTCAATAACTGTTCAGCAGTAACAATTAAATCATCTAAATCAAATAGCGGTCTGGAAAGAAATAATATGGGAGGTTATCAAATGATAATCGCACAAAATTTTCAAATAAAAAAAATTACCTTTGAACAAGTAATGCACGACTAGTTTTACAATTATCCAAGCGCCAATTTGATATTCCAACCACCGACACAATGGGTCCTTTTGTTGGGTAATTTGGCTCAAGCAAAGAGTGAAGTAATTTTAATGGATTGAATGGGCTTAATTCAGCCAATCCGACTAAAAAAATAAAAATAAAAATAAAATTTTTTTAAAAAATTAATATTTTGTTGAATCGAATAAAATTTAAAGTTACCATTATCAAGCAAAACAACACTAATGATAGGAAATTGTTTAGAATTTGTTTCCTGATATTTATTAGCTTTTTCAAACACTTTTATTATACTATCAGAAGTTGAAGAGGTAGAGCCCTGATGTGGAATGAGATAAACTCTTGGTAAACTTTTAAAATAACGGTCATTCGAATCAGATCCACGTAAGTTCGAGCTAATAAGATGAATTGCTAAAGATTTTGATGAACTTTTAAGAATTAAGTAAGAATTAGAAAATTTAGAAATAATAATAAGTAATGATAAATTATTAAATACAAACCCGGAAGAACCGATTAAAAATAAGGGAATCCTTGTTAAGATGCATGCAATCATAACCAAAACATTCTCTAATAAAGCTTCATTTTTTGCTATATTAGGTGGACATTGCATTCTATTAATATAGTCTTCCTGCTCATCGCGAATAACTCTAGCAAACATATGCACTCCCACATAAGCTTTATGATTTTGTAATATTTGTCCCATTTCGCGACGATATTGTTTACGTAACCATTGTTCATATAATCGAGAATGATAACAAAGACTAAGCGCTAAAATATAAGACCTGATTATCGCGGTCGGATTTCCAGATGGTGGATATTTATTCCCCTTTTTAAAAGCCGGGCGATTCTCAAGAGATTTATAAAAGAATTTCACCAGCGTTATAGCTCGCTTGACATCACGTAAACTAACACTATGGGGTTCCTCGACCTTACGAATGAATTTCTGGGAAGCATATAAGAGCTCGGCAAAAACTGGATGAGCCAGATTCATTAATTCTTTTTCAACCATAATTTGAATATATTTGTATTCATCGTTTGGTTTTAAAATACCATAGTCCCATACATAGTCTAAAATTTGATCAGGAAGTGGTTTGACTTTATAGACAAGATTACTTTGTTCTTCATATATTTGAAACTTATTTGTTGAACCATTATCGCTTTGACCCCTTGAACGAAAACGATATGGATTGAAAGCAGAGAATAAACGAATATTTGGATGTATAATTTTACCATCAAGCATTCGATGGGATATTAAATCTGCAAGCATACCAATATAATTGCAAGTGTTGATTTCATCAAATAATAACCAAATCTCGCTTTTTTCAGCCTCTTTCAAAGCATTATTCATAAATGTCATGATGGATTCTTCATGAATTCCAGCATGAAGATTAAGAGCTTGGAACTTAACTTCAGACAACATAGCTAAATATGCAATTAGGCTGGTCTAAATTAAATTAAAATTTAGTAAATAATAATAGAATAACATGTACTTTACTAATCAGAATTTACCTTGCCACATCCCGCTTCGCCGCAAATTACTACTGGAATGTTTGCACGCACTCTTAAAAGAATTAGCGCCATTTTTATCAAATTATCACTAGATAAGGCATATTCTGGAAGATCTAATTTTTTTGTCGAACTTCGTGCAATTGCTTCTAACCTTACTAATAGCGCATTTGCAGACATTGTATTGTAATCATCCAACTCCCAATTTTCTCGACTACCAATTGCTTGACTCTTTAACATTAATTTAATATTATCGGGTACTCGATTTTTGTCGTGATACAATATTGAAAAGGAATTGGGAGTTTTAGAATTAAAAAAATATATATTGTGGTTGGAAGTATCCCATTGAACAATTGATGTATCTTGATGAGAACTTTCACGTAAAGATTCAAGTTGTATTGCTTTTGTCTTAATAAATTTCATGGCAAAGTCTCTTGAAATTTCTATTAATGATTTCATTACTGTTGATCTGAGATTAGTTTCTTTGCTTGTTGTGAAATATAGACTTGATGAGAACCTAATTAATTGATCCGCTAAAACATTAACGAAAACTTTAATGAATTTAAATGTCAATATATTTTTTTCACCTTTAATCAAAAGATCTTTCTTAATAAGATATTGACAAAGTTCTTCCGATAAAGGATCTTTGGTATATCTTGACGTTTGAAATAAAAATTCATTTGTGTCAATATCTCCAAGATCACGTAATTTTAAATAATGACACACAACTTGAACTGGATTGGTTACTTCTTGAGATACTCTAAAGTTCTTAATATTCCAGGATAAATGCTTAGAAGGTAAAAATTTTATCATGGAAAGGCATTTAAGTAAATTTTGATTTAATGAGGAAGCTATTTCAATAAAAATGAAAGTTTCGGGAATTAAAACTATCATCTTATTATATGAAATCCTCTTAAAAGTCAATAATTCGAACAAAAATTGATTCACATCATTCGGAAAGTCGACCGATAAAATATTAATGTGTAGGCTTTCTATAAGCTTAAAGTTACATTCTCTAAGCTTGCTGACAATACATTCAAAATTCATGCCATCACTTATTAAGAAATAATGTGGGATTTTTTGTTTAGAAAAACTAGTCTCTTTGATCCATTCTGTTTTGCCTTGAGACGATAAATCCGAAGAAACACATAATACGTTCGGACATAATTCTTGATAAATTGTTTGCATCATTTCATCATCTATAACATTAACCTCATGGATTTTTAAAATAGATTGATCTAAAATATATTGCGAAATTCCTGATTCTCGACAACATAGAAGTGCTAAAAAATAATTTTCATTTGTATATTTCATTTGCATTGTTTTAATATAATTTACTAAATTATACTGCAACTCAAAATCTAGTAATTCTACACTCAAAATACAGAATAAATGATTTCTATATCCATTATTAGAAGCAAGGAAATTTCTTTTGACAAAAATAGAAAGTTCCTCTATTGTAGTTGTTGATGTACATGCTAAAAATTGCCATGGTTCGGGATAACATCCATAATTAGCATACAATGTCATTATTGTGTTTGGAAATTGTGATTGTTTGGTAAAAGTAACAACAAATAAGTTGTCCTTTATAATTGTCTTTGATATTAATTGATGTCCGGAGGTAATTTTACGCGCTTGCTTTGGATTATTTCTAAAAATATTTTCCAATTCGTTACCAATTTTTAAGAGTATCTCACTATTATCATGTGTCTTACATGATATTCCTTTGATATCAGTACGGGACGGTAACCGAGCTTCGTCGTTAACAAATCTAATCAGTTTTTTGCAATCCTCTTCATTTTTTTCATCTAATTTTTCTGATGTAACGTAATCATAGAATGCTAAAATATGGTGAGCAGAAAAGAAGGTTAAATAATAACATCTTTCATGTGCATGATCTATTATAAATTGCCTAATTAATTTGTAAAATTATAATTTATAATTAATAAAACAATAAATGAATAAAAATGAGAATAATAGAATTTGAATATTAACCATTTTTCAAGATCTTTTTTTAAATATTTAAGATAATCTTTCATATTTTGAGTTCCTTGTATTCGCTTTTCAAATCTTCTATAGCCAAAATGCCCCATTTGCAATAATACAGACACTACGTTTATAATTTCTTGAACAATTCCAACTTGAGCAATAAATTCATCCGTTTTCGCATCTCTATCATTTATCATATCATTTATATTGGATATTGGTTTGGATATTGAAAGAGCTCGCCCACGTAAACCTAAAATTTGATTTAAGTTATATACTAACTCAGTTTTAGAAGGTTTAGAGGTATATTTTAATGAAACTACACATTTATCTCTATTTTTATCACGTATAAAAGTGTAAGTCCCATTAGTTACGACATTTTTAATTTTTTCTTCTGTAAATTTGCCATGATTTGTAGTGCTAAAAGGCTATTATTACATAACGAGAACTTCTCTCCTAAGGTGAGATTGTTATTAATAACTATTAATAACCTCTCCGAAAAATCAAGAACATTAGTACACCAAAAAAGAGGAGACAAAGATTGGTTGACCTGAATCAATGACGAAATAGTATCTTCTTGAATCAAATTTTCATCTGAATCATCATCTACATCATTAATCAAATTTGTAATATCATGACTAGTAATATCCTTTAAAAATTTAATGAAATCATTGGAAATTGAAAGCTCACTTATCAATTTCCAAAAATCTTCATTAAAATTAGAAATATTTCTATCAAAGAAGTCAAAAACATTATTCATCTGCCCAGATTCCAGGGAATGTTTTTCATCTTTTAAAAGGTGAATTGATTTCATTAGCAAATCTTCTTTATCACGCGGTACATTGAAAATACATGCAACTTTTTCCAATTTTTCAAGTCGTTCGACCCAAAGAGGTTTTGTAAGATGATCAAGAGTTTGTATAAATCCTTCTTTTTTATCGATATCTATTCGAATACCTCGAGTATCATCAGTTAAATTATTATGATTACATTGTGAATATCGAAAGTTATCTTGAAATCCTAACCCAAATTCGATGTCTTGATGAATGTCCTGCTTATTTTTATTAATTTGAAGGTTATCTCGAGGCACTAAACCAGATCTAAAATCAAGACATATGTCATTAACCAGGATATTTGCTTCTTACTAATAATTTTGAATTTCTTTAAATACTAACCCGAATCCGATGTCCCAACGAGTGCCTGTCTTATTTTCAAGGTTATTTTGAGACGCTAACCCAGTTCCAAAATCAAGGTAAGTGTCATTAACCAGAATAATTGCTGCATACTAATATTTTTAAATTTAAAAAAGTTTCTTTAAATACTAACCTGAATCTGCTTTTCTGACGAGTGGCAGGCTCGTTTTATTATTTTCAAGGCTAACTTGAGACGCTAACCCAGATCTAAAATCAAGATAAGTGTCATTAACCAGGGTATTTTGCTTCTTACTAATATGTTTGAATGTAAAAAAGTATTCTAACCCATATCCAATGTCACGATGAGTGTCGTCAACCGAGTTATCTTGCCTCGGATTTATATATTGTGAATGTAAAAGGTTGTCTTGAGTTCTTAAACCGAATCCGGTGTCCCGACGAGTTTCTTGCTTATTTTTATTGCCTTGAAGGTTAACTTGAGGCTCTAACCTATATCTAATCTCACGATGTGTGTCATCAATCAAGTTGTCTTGTTTCTGTTTAATATATTGTGAAGTTAAAAGGTTGTCTTGAGATCTTAAACCGAATCCGGTGTCCCGACGAGTTTCTTGCTTATTTTTATTGTCTTGAAGGTTAACTTGAGGACTCAACCCATATCTAACGTCACAATGTGTGTCATCAACCAAGTTATCTTGTTTCGGACTAATATATTGTGAATGTAAAAGGTTGTCTTGAGATCCAAACCCCAATCCGGTGTCCCGACGAGTGTCTTGCTTGTTTGCATTGCTTTGAAGGTTATCTTGAGGATTCAACCCATATTTAATCTCACGATGGGTGTCATCAATCAATTTATCTTGCTTCGGACTAATATATTGCGAATGTAAAAGGTTGTCTTGAGATCCTGACCCATATTTGATGTCAGATCGATTGTCTTGTTTATTATTATTTTTATAGCTTTTGTCAGGGTAACCATCCTCCATCTTAAGCAATAAAAATAAATGTTTTTTTTTAAATGAAGAACAAAGGCTAATTATTTTAATGGTCATCGGAAATTGACTATAAATGGCTATCAAAAGATCGGATATCCATATATAGTAATTTACGAATTAATTGGGTAATTTTTTTTGGGATAATCAAAATTGATACTTCCTATTTATGAAAAACTTGTTCTAACAAATATTTATGTAAAAAATGATAAATTCGTATTTTATTAATTATACTTAAATAATTACTGCGATACGATAAATTATTTCATTAATATAACGATAATAGTCACTATCGTAATATGTAACATTTAAATAGAAAAATCAAATTTAGTTTTTTTTTAGAAAAACCAAATTTTTGTTTACTTTTATTATTATAAGAGAAATACTAATAATAATAACACCATCTTCAGAATAAACTGATTTTTATTATAAAATTTTCTGTTAGTTAATATTATAATATAAAAAAAAAAATGGTTAATTTGTTTAAAAAATATAATATTTTCCAATCATTTTATTGATTAAAGGATAAGATTATTTTGAGCGTAAATACAACTTGAATTAAAGAAAAAAGCGCAATAAATTTTTATTAAATTGGTTAAATCAAGATTTTTTTTGAAAAATAAATTTGTTACTAAATTTTGTAATTTTTAAAAATGTTTTATCTTTTTATAAACAGTGCGAGAAAAAAAGTAATTAGAATTGTGGAAAATGCAATAACTCAATAATCTATGATTAAAATTGCTTCAAAACTTATAATTTATTGTTAAATATATAAGTATTATACGTAAAAATTTTTAGTATTTTCTCATTCTTTCTTATGCTGCAATTATTATCTTTAAAATTTTAAAATTTTATTCATTTTTTATTTTATAAATATTTTGGTATCCAATTTAAGCAAATTTTTTTTATTTTGTAAAGTTTGATTAAGACTACAAAATATATAAAAATCGCATAAATAAAATCTAAGGGTTTCCGTTTGAAATAAAAATAATATTTCAAATATTTGAAAGTTTTTAAAACCGATATTGAATATTTATTTTTTTTTTATTTCACATACAATATGATAGACCTGGTCGTCCATCCCTTCTTTTCAAACATCCAGAATTACACGATCATATTCACAATTCGGTCGAATTTGGTTCAGCTGATGAGAAACGAAGAAGTGGTGAAAGTTCGGGTCATCGATTTTTTTTGTTTTTGGTTTTTCGATATTTTAAATTTTTCAGATTAGGGAAGGTTTAGTTTCAATTCGAAATCAAGTTGATATCCAAAATGAATTTTCGAAATTGATTTCAATATTCGATGTATTTTCGAATATTTGAATTTTATTTATTTACAAATAAATAATCAAATATTCTATTTTCAACGGAAATCCTAATAGAATCATTAAAAGCTAAGAAAATTGTATTTAATATTTTAATTTAATTTAATTTTTTTATTTATTTTTTAAAAGATGATTGCAGTATAAGAAAGAAACGATAAAGTGCTAAAACCATTTATTTATAATATCTATAAATTTATTAATATAATTGCAAACTTTGAAGTAATACCAATTTGCTTTTTTTTATTTTATATATCTCTCGGCATTCATTGGTTCAATTTAAATAACCTTTTTTTATTTTGTAGAGCTTAATTAGAACTATAAAATAAAAAATAATTTACATATTTTATTTTTTTACGAGATAGTTGTAGCATAAGAAAAAATGATAAAATGCTAAAATATTTTACGTATAATGCTTATTTATTTAATAAAAAAAATTGTATGATTTGAAGTAATTTTAATCATAGGTTATTGAGTTATTGGATTTTTTTACAATTCTGATTACTTTTTTCCTGCACTGTATAATAGATAGCTCTAATTGGCAATAAAATCTTGCATTTCTACTGAATTGATTAAAAGTTTAGTTCAGATAGTCGGTCAACATACTTAGGTATATTGATTAATTTACACAGTGTTGAATTTTTGTTACAATCTATTTATTTCAATTAACATTGAATTATGCATAAGATATTATAATGTTTTATGCCTTATAAATAGTTAATGTAAAAGCACTTTGTAGTTTTTAATATATTAATTTAATTATAATTTATTACATAAATTTTATTAAATGTTATTCAGATAGAAGTCTATTGTCTGAAGTTGTAAGCGTAAGACATTACTATTATTGTAGTGTGTAGGGTGAGAAGATTAGATACATCTTCTCACCCTACACACTTGTATTACGGGTCTACTAATTTACCCCCATACTAGTATAATTGATTATACTTATTTATAACGTCCAATAGCGTGACACATAAGCATCACCCACCGAAAAAAATTCTAAGTCCCCTCAAAAATATAATAAAAATTGAAAAATCACAAGTGTCACGCCGGTGACAAATCACTTAACACCTAACCTAGCCCTAACTAATCTCGATTATAACAGCCAATCATAGCGTAGGGGTAAATTAGTAAACCCGTATTACAGTTGATCAAATATCAACTATTTGAACGCTTCGGACGTTTCAACGGTTTCCGTTATCTAGTTATATAGAAATGTTACAGGTTATAAAATACAGTAAATTATAACTGTAATATAACTTTACTGATAATGCTTTATATTCTTTTGATAAAAGATTTTATACTAATAATTTAAGATTTTAGAAATTATTTCAAAAATAGAAAGAATTTAAATATAAATATAAATTATTAATTATATATATTTTATATTACTTTTTTATTAATTAAATTTCTGTATATTAACAAATATTTCTAATTAAATTTTTATATTATTAATATATGAGAGATAAGAAAAGAGATTTTTAAACTAATAATTCAAAAAAATCTTATTATTTTTTTTAAAAAAAAAAATGATAAAATGATTTAATATCACACTAAAATTTTATTATAATTATACATGAAAATTTTATTATTTAATTCATGTTTCATATATTATAAAATAATTTATTATTTATTGTTAATAATAAGAAAATTTTATATTATTTAAAATTTAACAAATCTTTTATCTACTTATAAAGTTAAGCTTATTATTAATAAGTAAATTCATATTTTATTTAAAAGTATTAGTATTTGATTTTTAAATATAAATTCATTATTTATATTAGAGGTCCGAATCGGTCAAAAATTTAATATTCGATTAATCAATCGTTCATAAAATTTATAATCGATTATATTCAAATTAATCGTTGATTAATGACGATTATTCA